ACCACCCACGACTCGTGGATGATGGTTTTAGCAAATCGCACGTCAATAAACGTTATAGCAGGCGCATTTCTCAATCGTAAATAGCTTCAAGCAATATTTCTATAAATAAATAAATAAATTAGCTATAAATAAAAACATCGATTATGCAAATTGCAATCTTCTAAAATAAGCATGAAAGAAACCGATTCACCTACCGTTGTAATTTTTACTCACTCGTCATTTTGCTAATGCTTTGTATATATAATAGTTAAAAATAAGAGAAAAGTTTATACCCCTGAATAAACAGGTCTTTTTGCACATTTCTTTGGAGACATTTCTTGGAACAGATACATAAGAACCCGAAGATGTACGAAGGTAAAGTGCTTCCTGTGTCATGGTCGCGCGTGAGTCAGACTGCTACGTAATCGAAAGAATTCGCAGATGCTAATTAACTGCGAAAGAAGTTTGCAAACTATCCACGGATTGCATGTGCAAATATGTAGAATATTATTAAAGATCTTATTGCATTAATGCTGTCGGCCTGCAATTTAATCTGGAGACAATCGCCCGACATCTCGTTTTGCGACATATTCCGTTTTCAGGCCGACATTTTTCAGTTTGCATATACATACTTATCTACTCATTGATAAATTATCTAGTGTTAAAACTTCCTGGACGTTATCTAAATTCTGATTATAGCAACAAGGTAATTTCACGAGAAAGATATTCAGACGTGCATCATATATCGTTGGCTACGTCGCTCTAGAGGAAAAGTAACGTCTCGAGCAACATACGATGCTCGTGATTATTATTGCGATGACTCAGATAATCTTTGAAGATGCAATTCACTGTGAGATAAAAGTTTAGATTATCATTTGTTTATAATCAATCTTAATTTTTCAGTTACCCTGAAATCTTGGAATACAAAAGACTTATCTCTGTGTTGCATTTGTCCATTTAATGCTATGAAATATTGAATTTATCAATTACACATTTTATATAAGAAGATTATATTTAAAATGTAAATGTATATATTTTATGTAAGATTCAAATTAATTATGATTTATTAAAATCTGGAATATAGTTTTGCAAATCTACTTATTTTTGCCATAGTCGCCGAATTATCAGATAGAGTGACAAATGAATAATTAACTGGTGATAGAGAAATTGATGGTGATAATCCGTCAATGAGTAAGCTAGTTTCACAATTCACACAGAGAAAGGTTCACGATAATTATACGCTCTACTCTCTATTCGTGTAGACCTTATAGATAAAATAAGCGCAGCCCCAGCTATTCCCATTTAATAAATTAATATACGTTCGTAAACCGTTACTAGAATCGAGATAAGTGTTCGAGATAGTAACATCAGGGACAGTTAGAAATGCTCGCAGTACTTAGGCCTCTCCAAATGATATATATATAACGACGAAATCGTGTTGCACCGTACATAACTAAATAAAGCACGCGTTGTTGTCTTTCAAAAAATACTCTTTATAGCAAACTAAGATTTTTATCAAAATAAGATTTTAATTTTAGTTTAACATTAATTTTTAACGTTTTAATTTTAACGTTAGTTAAGAACAGTTTCGGTAGATTATTTTGTGTATCCATAAATTTCACATAATTTTATTATTCGGAAAAATATACGGATATAATCATTCGATAATCCTTATCGAATATTATTATCCTAATATGGAAAAAATAACGCCATTTAATGCATAAATTGAAAAAAAGATCGATAAAAGGAAATAAAAAATTAATAAAGAATAAAAATTTTATAAAGAATAATAACGTCTTTATAAAAAAAAAAATAACTCAATGAAGTCTATGATGAATCCTATTCAGAATGCTAAAATTAAAAAAAATATTGCAATAAAATGCAGTATCAGTTACTATTTGTATGACAGAAAAATATAATTTATACCATCTTAGATAATATTTTTTTATAGTGTATACTACAATGAATACGTAATTCTTTGAACGGAGAAAATTAAAATCTTGTACTAATGCTCTCAAAGTAGGACGATAACCATATTCCAGCAAAAATAGTCAAGCGATCAAATGAGAAAAGCAAAGACAAAGAGAGAAATCAGCGTAAAAGAAACATTAAGGTCCCGTCGATCCTTAAGTACCAAAGTATACGTTTGGAAAAAAGATATTATATATAAAACCTATACTTAACATCCACTGATGTCACACTCGGAGAAAAATGAAGAGATATCGCATGCTTGATGCGAGTCACAGAAATCATGTACTCGCCGACACCCGTCGTTTTTCCTTTTCTCTCTTTTGCTTTTCTCTCTCCCTCTCCCTCTCTCCCTCCCCCCGCCCCTCTCTCTCTCTTTCTCATCCGACATCATTTCGATGTTACCAAATTGTCCGACTAACGCTGCTGCCAGCGGGCAGGACCGTTACGCAGGACCGTTCTCTATCCGCCGCTTCCTCTCGAACATAATAATTTACAAGCACGCCGGGCACGACAAGAGTCGACCCTATTTGGTAGGTACGGAGATTTATTATCCGTTTGACTCGCTGTATTGATCTAGACATCGACCGGTATCGGATCGATACCCGACAGTCATAGATAATACAGACAGCTAGCTCGCTTTCCTCCTTTCCTCGCTTGCGATGACGACAACGACGACGACGATTTTTGCCATACTTGAATGTCAAGCGGGATCTCTCCGTCTGTATCCGAACGATGCGTGGCTCGGCTTACAACGGCATCGTCGCTCAACGAGTATGAAACGAAGGCGAATCGCGTCGCGAGAACGATAAAGCAAGAATGCTACGTTGGCGCAAAAGTGCCACGAGATACCTATCGGTTAGATTTATAGAGCCATCTCGTGTATCTGTCATAACACGCTGACATTAAAGGGGATGATGATGGTGCATCTAATCAGTGTCCCGAGCGATGAATCAAGCGAAACGCAGCAACGGTTAGCTGATGTTAAGACAATAAAATCTACGATGAATTCCTTCGCTCATAGCGGGATTACCATCTTTTTCTTCATTATGCCATACAAATATTAATATGCCATATTACATCGCATCCTTTATACATGACGTACACTATGGGATTCTTCTCTAAAGAGATTCTTAGAATATTATAGAGGATTATATATTTCTTTTTTCTCTCTTGATTTGTAAAAAACAAACAAAAAAAAAAAAAAATCAGCGCATGTCTCTCGTCTAGCGATTCTTTTGTATATGGAAACATAAAATTTCGAAGCAAGATACACCCTTCGTGCACTGGCGAAGATGAAGAGTTCCGAGTTATAAGTTGACCAATCTCTTTGCCATGTAATAACGCGCTTTGTCCGGGCCCCAAGGCACGATATTAAGCATTCCAGGGCAACGATGCAATAATGCGGGGCTATCCGATGCATAGGAACTAAAACAGGAACGGTACGGACGAATTTAAAATATTCGCCGAAGATATTGCTGATCACGGTTACGCACGCGAACACACGTACACGTAGAAAGAGAGAGAAGGGGAGGAGAGAAGGAGAGAGAGATAGGGGCTGTATAATATAATTTCGGATCGAAAGCTCTTCGGTTCCGATATTCCTCCGCCGAGTCGTGAATCTCACTTTGACCTATGGAAGAATGGACTAACAGTAGTCTTAACTCGATTATTGCATTCCTTCGTCCGATACTGATTATTATGGTTCTGACGTGGAGACGAGAATGAAAACTGATAGAGGCCGAACAATATCTTACGAAATATGCGACATTGATCGGTGCATATCGGTCCATTAGAATTTACTTTATACATTTCTCGGAATATAATGAATTATCCATTAATATAAAACTCGTTTAGACGCTCGTTCTCGATAAGGATACGTTGGGCCACCTGATAACTTTCGAAAATCTTTCTATTCATTAGCGTTATTAAGTCGCGCCGTTACATGATGCTTATCGATAATTTGACGGGAGAAGTTCATTACCAGGTGCGAACTGAAAATATATCTCGACGAGTGTCATCATGAATGATGTCATGATATTCATTCAGGATATTCGGCAGCTTTGTGATTTACGATTATACCCATCGTGTGCACGCAATATGTTGAATAAAACTTATCACTGTGATTAACATATAAATCAAATAGATGATACATATGCGATAAGAGGACGTTATCTTCAAGTAATTTATTTTTATCTTCCTCGGATACAGGCAATTTATCTATATATTTTTATTAAACGCATTACATCTATCATTTTATCAACATTAAGATGTTATTAAGGATGTATGTGTCATGTCAAAATATTGACAAAAGCGATGAATGAATGATGAATGACTTTTCTATTATTTCTTCTATCTCTGTAAAACCTGAGAACAATTCTTTTAACGGTTTGAAAATTATTTAAATTTAAAATTTGTATTGATTCTTATGAAAAATATTGTAGCACTTATTGACAAATTTGATAAGGAAAAAACATTGCCAGCGAAATAAAAATTTTCATATTATTAATAATTTTCATATATATTAACCAAAGTCTAATAAACAATTGTGCAACATTTGATGTAGATCCACTCGTCCAAAAATTATTTACTAAAAATTGTAGCAAAGTACTTATAGGCCCCCAAAATCTTTCTATAAATTACTTGTTCTTTTGTTTCTTGTAAATGATTTCAGGAGGTATTCACGACCAAAAATTAATTAATTACAATTAGTTTCTTTTGCAAAAACGTTAAAAATCATATTATTTTGTGACACTTTAATTTTTTTCATAATCCAGATTTATTTATTTTATTTTTTAAACAGTATAAATGTAAGAAAGATTTTTTTTTTTCAATTTCGACAGCTTTTTGCTATTATTGTACAGCCAAAACGTCTTTAAAGCAACGCTTTTGTCGATAGATAGTTTCCTGTTTCTAGTTATATATGGATATTGTTATCTTTATGATATCTTTAAAATATTATATATATTTTATACGTCTAGTCAACTTTTTTGTCATTCTCAGAATCTTGGAGTCATCTTGCTACTTCTAAGAGCTACATATAAATTTTGCAGATATGAAACCTTCGGACAGGAGCGAGAAGGCTATGTTGTCCGGAAACGCCCAACCGTCGGACGTGTTCTGTTCGGTCCCAGGACGATTATCGTTACTAAGCAGCACCAGCAAGTACAAAGTTACGGTAGCAGAGGTACAAAGACGGCTATCGCCACCGGAATGTTTGAACGCGAGTCTCCTCGGCGGCGTGTTACGAAGGTAAGGCGTCAATTTATAAACGCTATAATTATCACACAAATCAATTTCGCGAGTCGATATAAAATATATAATTACCTCGATTACTCGATAAGCATTCCCCTCTCCCTTCCCTGCCTCTCTTCTGCGCAGTACTCTCCGAGAATAGTTTTCTCGGCAGAGAGTGAGAGAGAAAGAGAGAGTGCGGTTCATTCATCCGTCTTTAATCGCGCACACACTTAGAGCCCCTCGGGCTCTCTCAGCAGCCCATAAACAAACCGTTAGAATAATTTGGCGAAAGATTAAATATCGTTCCCGTGAGAATCGGCACGGCTATCGATTAGGAAGGTGCCCGATATACGAATATACCGTTGTCTTGAGATTAACGTAAGTCGCACGTTATAAAATTGTAAAACAAACGTGTCGATCAAAGAATCTTGATGAAAACAAATCTATTAGTTAACAGATTTCCGTAAATTTCGACAAGAAGTACGAGTATATAGATAACTTTCACATACAGGATGTCCCGAAATTAAATGTCAAAACTTCGGGAGTATATGGGGGATAAACTAAGAAAAAAAGTTCTTTAGAGATTTGCTCATTTTCGCTTCGTTTTGAAAAAAATCGCAAAAATAGAAACAAAAAAATTTTCATCAAGAAACTCTTGTTTACTTAAATATTTATTACTTAAATAAGTAATAAATAAGTGAAAAAATGAGAGCTTTTTTCGTTTCAATTTACTTATTTATACATGTTGTCACTTCCTTAATGACAAGAATGTAACATAAACTAAAGTAAAGAGGATACAATATATAATCTCGCGTTATCGCGTACTTATTTATGATCCTCTAATTTTACTTCGCGAGAATTTTAATTTACTCTCTTTTCTTAATTCTATGATTGATAACTTTTATCTCACTTTTCGATAGGCCTAATAATTTTAATATTATTTTAGGTGTTCTGATGAAATTTTTTTGGTTTCTTTTTTTGCGATATTTTTCAAAACGAAGCAAAAACGAGCAAATATTTAAAGGATTTTTTTTTCTTAATTTATCTATTCCCAACACGCTCCCGAAGTTTTGACATTTAATTTCGGAACACCCTGTATATTTTCTTGTACAGATGAATGAAAATGGGATTCGATTGTGAATATCCTGTCACGAAGGAACACATGATGATTACACTTTTATTACAAGCATTACATTTCTTACAAAGTGCGATAATCCATGGTCACCGGATACCGTGCCGGTCCGTGGCTGGCGGAGTTGTATCACAGCCATTGATTCCGCGGAAGAAACAAAATACGGGATACACAGCGCTGCATTAAACCGACATTTCCGGCCGCGTATCGAAATAATCGATGTAATTGATACGAGGCGCGATCGGAACAATGCGCGAGCTGAAAAGATACAGCGGAATGAAGATCGCGATACGCACCGTTACACGACTTTATCTATGAGACTAATTAATAAACCCGCGTGTTCAGCTTGTCCGGCTCGTTTCTTACACCGTGCACGGACAGTTACCTGATTTATAGAAGCTTCTCATGGGAGAGAAACACCCTTCTTTATCTGATTCGCGGTTTTATCCTAGGCTAGAGAGAATACTGCTCATTGCGCAATCCTTTATCACCATAGGCGTGGATGAATTACCGTGCAAGTGGTCAGATATTCTCCCGCGTACTCGTATGTACATGCGACTTTTCACGCTGAATCTTTCTCTCGCAATAGACATTGCGAAATTGCCGTCAAGGCATCGCAAAATCACGCTCCGTTATTTTACATTCGCGATTCTTTAGGTGAATATTTGTAAGAAAATTCATTCAAGATTACATAAACTCGGGCGGATAAGAAAGAAAATCAAGAATAATAATAATTTTTATAATCTGTACAAAAACTAATCATGAGAGAAAGAGAGAGAGAGAATGTAATCAAAGATATTGCTAAAAATGGTGTGAAAAGTTTTAAACACAGACATCTTCTTATCCCCTCTCTCGCTTAATAAATTCTTTCTCAAACAAATGTAAATTCTCCATTCAACGCAGAATGTGTATTGTGAAAGAAAACGCGCGCTTTTTCTGCAGTAAAAAGAAATATTACGGATGCGCGTACTTTGATGTATCACACATCGCCCACGAATTGTTTCGCTGTCAAGTGACGGAGGGCGGCGAATCTTTCGCGTATACATATATACGCCGCGGAATAAACTGCTAATAAAGCGGACCGATCTATCCCCGATGCAAATGAGACATTAATAACCCGCGTAGCTCCGAGTGTCAATTCTCCTCTCGGTACGCGAGCGAGCGAGCGAGCGCGCCTCGGGCGAGCTCGGCATCTCGCACCGACGGTTATAATTCATCCGTTCGCATAGCGATCTGACCGATAATTACACGCGCCGGGCAGAGACTTGCCACCATAGAGATTCTCCCCCTCTCCTCTATAGTATCCTCCTTTTGTCTCCCCCACCATCTTAGCCTCATTCCCGGCAACTTGCGCCCCCTCCCTCCCTCCCTCCCCCGCTCGTCCACGTGAGGGGATCCTCCGCGATCGTAATGCGCCTCGAGAGATTTTCAAAGATCGTTGCATGTATATGCGAGCGCTTTTGTCACAGTGATACGCATGCATCCTCGGTTCGCGGCCCCTACCGTTTCTGTTTTCTCACCGTCGATTTTTTTATCGCTCTGAGCGGCATTTCGTAACGCGCGCGTTTCTCTCACTGTGCTCTATTGATTTTTTTTTTTTTTATTATTTATAAGAACGAACGAGTGTCAGAATTTGGTATCGAGGTAAAATCACGAAAGGACTTTCGAAATGGTTTCGCTCAATTTATAAATGTATCGTCACTTAAAGATTTTTGCTCGCTATATTTAAAATTACATACAATTATATGTATATGTTTCTTTTCGATCAATTTTATTATGTTTTATCTCTTATATATCCTGAGATATGCGACCTTTGAACTTTAATGACTGAATAATTTTTAATATTGTATATTCTTAATCTGAAATTTATTAGGGATTAGCAAAATCCTCACCTGCTCTATAAATTACTGGCGCGAATATCTTTTAGGATTGGTCTACATCTGCTTAAGAGTCTAAAAAATATTGCTCAAAGGTTGTCGGCCAATTTAAAACGCGACTGAGTTCTACTTTAGAACAGGAGCTCTTTTTCGGTGTGATATTCATTTTTTCTCTTTGTTGTCTATTTCAAGTTAAATGAGAGAGAGAGAGAGAGAAAGAAAATACTATGCACGCATCAATTATTATATAAGTAGCAGATACACTTATACTATAGTTTCATTTTGCGGCAAAAAAATGTGACAGTGACATTTTATTATTCTCGGCGCGGTTCTCATTAAATCTGGTAACCACAGAAATACAACATTTTCTGACGCACAATCATTCGATCGATTTAATTTATTGCTATATATTTCGAATCAATATTACTTCTTTGATCGAGAGAATTAAATGTCCACACAAAATAGATCTCGCCATTTATTAAATCTAGCACGACATATTTAAACAAACTTATAAAGATAAGAAATAATACAAAAAAGCAATTTTTCTTTTTACTATCAAATTTTAATTCTACATGTATATTCAAATATTATATTCTCTATCGTTAAAAGCTGAGATAATTGCTTATCCTGGAATCAAGTTTAGTAGTTTGATAGTATTTGGTAGGTTTTTACGAAAAGAGTTAAAAAACATATGATTTATAAACTTTGTTCATTATATCACAATAAAAAAATTTTGAAGTATATAAATATTATGAAGTATGTAAATATTATAAATTATATATATATATATATATATATAAATATATGTTGTATATATATACACACATACATATATACAATATATATCTTGTAAGAAATCTAAAAAGATTTGATTGAAAATGTCTAATATGTATAATATTTAATACAAAATTAGCAAAGATATTACGAGGGTAATCAATATCTCAATAAGTCGCAACATCTGTTTCCACGCGCTAATCGTTGCTAATCGTAATTTCGCCTCACTCTCTCGTAAGATGAACGACACGGAAGCTATTTGAATGAGTCTTGATCGCGTCAGGAAGTCTTTTGGTTTACTAATGTCGCGCGGCATCCGTAGACGATTAACGATGCCACTCGTCTCGAGTAATCTGGGGGGAACAAGGAATCTCGGCGCACCAGTATTCCTATCGGCAGGATCGAGGGGGTGCAAAATCTCGAGGAAACCCTAACGTAAGAGGGGACGATGCGTCTGATTGTGAGTGGAATGAGGATCCTTCTCGGGACAAGATTCTGTAATGAGTGCAGTGTCGCTCTCGTCACGTACGAAAACGGAGGACGACAATGATCGTTAAACACAAAATTTCGATTTGATCGTGCATTCATTTCACGCGATCAATTAAATTCGGGGCACGATCAAAATTTTTTGTCATGCATTGACTATACATCTATATTTCGATATCACTAATGATCATCGGAGACGATCACATCGTCTGAGGAGACACAAAGTGCGATCGAAAGAAAAGTTCATATTACATTGTAAAAAAATTGAAAATTCAGACAGCATTCTGTCTGAAAATTCGAACAATGTATCTGCAAAAAAGCTGCAGACATTTTGTCTGAAGTTTCAATCAGACACACTTCAATTTTCACATTCTTTTGAACTTTCAGAAAAACGACTCTGATGATTAAGACAGATTGTCTGAAATTTCTTTCAGACATCCAGATCTCAAAATTCAGACAAAAATGTGTCTTTAGAAAATTTTTTGTAATTTAGTTAGAAGTAGTTTCAGCACAATTCTATCAATTTAATATTTCATTTTAGATTTTAATATAATATAATATAATATACTTATATTGCAATAAATATACAATTATATTGCAATAAAATAAACAACAAAGAATATAAACCAAGAAACAAAGAGTATTGATGATTGATTGTTAATAGCACGATTTAAATTCATAAATTCTATTATTAAAAAAACATTTTAACATTTTGTTATGTTTTGCAAATAAATATAAATGCAATATGATGATTTATGATATAATATTGCATTACTTATAAGATAAGAATTCTAGAAGGAGAAAAAGAAGTGAAATATTCTACTTAAATCATGTTTACGTTTCAAAATAAAAATTTTCGATACAAACTTAAACGAAAATCTCACTTTTAATCATAGAGATTAAATTAAACGAAAATAATTAACCACTTCCTTTTATTATGTTTAAAAATAAATACATTTTGGAAGAGTATAATTTTGAGAAAATAAAATGCCCGGAATGTAAATTCGAAGAAATCGATATTAAAAACCTATAGCGGTAAAACATATTAATTGCCAAAAGCGAAGCTAAAGATTGTCCGGGCGAGCCGGACAGTCGAATCGAACAAAGGTAGGCGATACGCGTTACCGTTATAACAGACCAGAATGATGGATGAACAGGGTGTGTTAAAGAAAGAAGTCGCTGCTACTATCGCATGCCTGTTGATGTCGTAAAAAAAAAAAAAAAAAATTTACTTCGCGGCTTGGTCGTCGGATTAACAACACGAAATCGCCATACGACGGTCTCGTAAGCGATTAAAACACGATTAAAACACGATTTTCGATGGTGTCTTGATGAACTTCGGTGGGAAAAACACATGGGACGTATCCGATACACGATTCAGCACAAAATAAAAAATTAGAATTTTTTTCTCTGGAATATGTTTCGCTTTCAGCGAGAGTTGCTCATAAATACTTCGTAGAATCGCCTATGTATTTATTTTCTACGATATTAGTTACATTGAAAGAGTAACTGTAATATATCATATATATAGTCTCCTGTATTCTTCGACAAAGAGCCATTTATTTAGTTAATGAAGCTATCTCCTAAGCCATTTAACACATAAATATTTTTTATCTACACAAAGTTCGAGATTAAATATTTGAATTTAGATTATGATTTCAATCTTAAATGCCACTTTGTCATCAAACATTCTTTGAAATAACGAAAAAGATATATCTAATTGCACCAAACGGAATCACACTATTACAATGGATAATGCTTGACTTTAATAAATCATCAAAGGCCTCATCCATATACAGGGGATATTACATTTCTTAATAATTAATCTACACATATCGAAGGAAACCATGAAGATGTGCCGACAAAAATCCTATCGATGCTCGCGTTACAGCCTGAATAGATTGCTGTGCGAAAATAGTGCTCCTTTCAAGCATGATCCTATTCCGCAAAACATGAACAGCACGCATCCTCGAACGTGCGTTGCTCCGCGCGTCGAGTTACTCAATCGCCGATGACACATGCGTAGTCGCGGATTATGCTAATTCACTTATTTTTCTCCCTCTCGCTGCCGCCGTCCCTCTCCGCTCTACGATTTCATCTTTTTAGAGATCGCGGCAAAATGATTAATGGCGGAGTTCCGTTTCGAAATTCTCACGCGCCGGGATCGCGCAAACACGCGCGTGCGTGGGCGTTCGCGCTTGTATCCGAATAAAAATATTACACGAAAACGATAGAAAAAATAAATAATTAACTAAACGTAAACTAAACACAATGACGATTGTTCGAGTATTATTTATTTTGTGCAACACATATCAAATCTATTGTGAGTTGATTGTTTCGTTGACGTGATGGTATTAGAAAAGTTACGAAAGCTTTAACTCGATCAAACTTGACGATATTAAATAAAGGAATGCGTGAAACATAAAATGGTACTGAAAACGTAATACATATAATCATTTAAAAATATAAAAAATAATTTTAATGATAATTGAATAAATTATGCACAGATAAATATAAGAATCAGGCTATTTATATAATGTATAATTATTCAAAAATAATGTTTCTATCAATATAATATTTTTATATTGATAGAATATCTTTATCTTTATATCTTATATCTTTTTTTTGGGATTAGATACAGCCATAAATTTATCTTCGATTATCATATATCGTACACGTTGTTTAATTGATGTTAAGAAAGCTATTGTTATGAAAAAGCTTTATGCTATAAGAGATATATTTTACATTTTCCAGGGCGAAATCCAAAAATGGCGGGCGTCTGCTTAGGGAAAAATTGGAAAAAATTGGTTTGAATCTGCCAGCCGGCAGAAGGAAGGCGGCTAATGTCACGCTTTTAACATCCTTAGTGGAAGGTGAGTGTTTTCTCTTATTTCGAAAACTCGATTACGAAGTCATTAAGGAATTTATAAAGAAAAGAAACATCTGACACAAACAGATCGAACAGAAACCGATAAGTCTGGTACAGCTTGCATGTTACAAACTTAATAGCCCTGAGATATTAATTAAATATTAATATATTTCGGAATGATTTACGATGTTACTAAGCAGATATGATCAGGCATTGCTACATACATTATACATGCTCGTTTCTATTCCTGATTTTCAAGTTTTCAACGTCGTATTATATATGATTTGAATATACAAGTTGCCGCTCTCTTGAAATGTAATCATAAACAAAAACATTTCTGCTTGAAATCCTTGAATTAGAATTCTTATGGCTTAAAAAACTAATATTTGAGTTTTCACTTAATTTCAACTTGAACTTATCTTAATAGTACATTAAAACTTAGAGCTAAATATTTTCTATAAAAGATGAGATCCAATGAAATTTTGACCAAAAAAAAAATTGAATTCAGATTCTTAAAAAAATCGACTAAAAAAGATAATGCGTTTGTATTTCCACAGCAATTTGTATACATTTAAAATATTGACCATCGAAATTACTTTATATTATACATTCTCCAATTTAAAAGATGCTACATTTGTCAAAGAAAGCAATATATATTAAGCTTGTTTATGAATTCACAATATTCTTGTAAAAGCTATTATATCTTGAAGATATAACATATGACCATCTCATAAAATACGCTGATAAAATCATCTCTTTCAAATATAAAACAAAATTACATGATAATAACGGTAACATCTTTTTTCTTTACTCGCAATCATTTTCTTCATTAGCAATAATGATCGCGTATCCGGTACAAGAAGTAAAAACATATAATTAAACGGAAAGCTTCCTGCAGAATATCCCAGTTTTATCATGAGCTTGCAACCTTTACATTTTCTTTTATATTTTACCGTATATTCGCTTATACAACACATTGAAAATCGGTTATACAAAAATAAAGTTGCATGCATTTATGAAGCACAATATTTTAATCAAGCTTGTCAATTGGCCTTGCAAATCTTGAGATATCAAAGAAAGTATATAAAATTACACTATATTTATTTTCAAATTTAGCAATTATTTTTTCTTAACAAAAATATGCCGAGACGCTATTTAATTATTTAATAGCTTCATAATTAAAAAATAATTAAGATAATTCAAATAATTAGTTGCCAGAATCAATTAATTTAAATTTTATTTAAGGTATTTTATTGTCTTTACTTACGCTTTCGAAACTAAAGAGCTTTTAGCCTTAATATTAATTATTTTCACACAATTGGTTTCTACCTTAATCAAAACATTTTGCTTATATTATTCAGTTAATTAAGTAAATTTATGTTTTCTCGCGAAAGAAAATTTATTTTTCAGTTTATTTCTCAGAATACATAAAAAAATTTTTATATATGTATCTTATAATTATTTCATAGAATATTTCAGTGAAAGAAGTCAGCAAAAAGCTCTACATTAACGAGTTAAAAGATGGCCTTCCCAGAACGAATTATAATACATGATAGAAATAATGTTTTTCATTTCCCGCCATTTTGCATTTACGTTTTTTATTCCATTACTTTCTAAAATAAGTCTTAATACAGTTCCCCGTCTCAAATTTGTTAATGACATTATCTCTTTAATACATATAATATATTATTAAATTTTGTAAATCTGAGTGCAATTCTGTTGCATTTAATGTGGGGAAACAACGCGCTATTAATCGCATTTATCTATAAAATGCCCCATTGCAATAATAATATGGTCTGTCATGATTTATTTTGTAATTAATAGCTGTTAATAGCTTGTTAATGAAACTCGCGATACTTATCGAAAAATATGTTGCCATAATATCCCGACATTGTGTAATATTCAATTACAATCGATTTATACTCGTTATCTCTTCAAAAATTCTTAAAAATGTATGCATAACAATTAATTGACGCTTATCAACATCAATAGTTTGGAATGACATATGTCATTTTGAAATTAAAAATAAAATGATAGGGAAATATATATTATTTATATTATATGTAGATTTAATAAGGTATTCGCACAAAAGTTACAAAATCATTCTAAGATATTGAGAGAAATACGATAATCATTGGTATATATATTATGTAGATTTATGTAAAAAGAGTATCGACCAGCATATTTAATTCATTGATATACATTCGTCTAAATTATTATTCACGCGTATGTTATGCGAATTCTGCAGGATTCTTTACTATCGAAATCAATAATGGCGCATTAGCGATAATCCAACAATAATCACGCGTTTTTGCCAGCAATTTATCGCAAGTGATAAACATAACGCTTTCCGATTTACTACCGCTGTAATTTATGCGAGGTTACCTCTCCGCTCGTCTTTACACCCTCCTCTCGTCGCAACACTGAAGAATTACATTCCTCGTGACGCCCACTTGTCTCGTAGGGCACAGTGATGAAATCATCTCTCCAGAATAGCGCGCGTTAAGGTGAATTTACACGGTTTACGCTCGATGGGTTTCAGATGAATCATTCAAGTGGATGAATAAATTTTTGTTTGGACATGTAGTACCGGACTAAAGTCTCATAAAATGAAACATCTGGTCTGACAAAGTATTATAAGAAAATAAATATTGAATTTTTTTTTTTTTCTTCCACATTTAATACTGCATGTGTATTTAGTACTACACGTTTGATTAGATTTTATTCTTTTTTATCTGGTACTCTTTATATTCTCTAAATAAAAATTTATATAAAATAATATCATCTTCAAATATATATTCTGTTTGAATTACTCACATAGCTTTTAATTATCCCGATTAAATCTGTTTCGGCAAAGAGGATGAGATTAGAGAAGCTAGTTGCATTTCTTTGATTTTTATGAAAACTTTTTCCATCTATGTAATCTTTCATAAATCACTATATTTTCGTTTCAAATGATTTTTAGCGGATAATTATCGAAAGTGAACCGTATAAATTCGCCTTTACAAAGATCTCCGTTGTTCTTCCGCGTTATGACAGTAACAACCTCAGAGTGCAATCTTGTTGCGCCGGATACGCATGGTTAATCAGAGAAAAAGAGAGAGAGAGAAAGAGAGGAAGAGACTCCTACGGGATATCCCAAGTGCACGAGAGCGCTTAATAACGAGCGCGCAACAAATGCGTATGTGCGTACAATCGCCGTGCCACGCACTTCGGCCAGCAGTGCTCTAATGACGCGCCTGGAAGTTCGCTGGCACACGGACGTTGATTATAATTTATGGTCGGTGAGGCTTTTATAAAACACCGAGGTTCTTGCTTTTCTTTCCCCTGCGTGACAGGGCGGTGGCGGCACGCGTACCGTAATCCTTCCTCAATCGGAGAACCCAAAATCCGAGTGTATTATGTTTCGCTAAATTGCAATATTGCGTATTGATAGAATATTTCCAAGAAAATGTTAGATTTCCAAAGAAAAAAATTATTTAGAATTTTAAAAAATTTCCGCCTCAATCTTCATATTTCTAATACAATATTTTATTAAATAGTGAATATATAATGTAGATGCACGTGGGACAGTGATTCGTAAATTTTGAAATAAATATCTTAACTTAAGCTAATTAATCGCCTTGTTTCGTTGTACTGACACCATCGTGTAAAACCATCTTATTATCGCAATACAATGAAGTGTGCATACATCAATTTGTCGATTTAGACATAGAAAATTTCTATATCTATTATTTATACCTATGGTCATTAGCCGTTAAACAAGTTAAATCGGTGTAAAATGGCGTTCATAATGCGTTTTCTTGGGCCACGAATTAATGTCACTTAGCAAGACTAGATCCGTTCTCAAAAAATCTCTAGCTTTCAATAAATATTTACGTGTCTGAATGGAGCGTATAATTAACGTAGAAAACAAAATTTATTAGCCGTGTTCATTAATCCCATCTTTCCGGTTGAAAGGAAAAGAATTCAAAAAGAACTTTAAATGTTGAAATGAACTTATATGTTTTCAATTCTATTTGTATATGTAACTTGTTTCGTATGCAAGCCTGAAAGTGAGGACATAACTGTTATTAAGTGAATCGATATTCATATAATGTATCCATAAGTATATGGATTTACGGGAGTTTTATGACGCGATCCGCGATTCCTTAATTAAATATCTGAGATTCTATCATGCTTTAATGATGTAGGAAATGTCTCAATAATAATGATACATTTATGACAGTGCGTGTTCGCGATATTATTTTTTGATTTTTACGCTTATATGTAATACACAAACTCGACGAGTCTCGTGTTTTCCATTTATATGCGTATAAGAATAGCGTTATGTTCAATTCTACGTTTTACAAGCTATGCAATAGCAGTCTATAAATCATTCAGAAACTCTAATTTATAAGTCTTTATTGAATCTTATATATTATCATAGCCGTTCTAAGTGTGCTTAAAAATGTGGCAAAACATATAGGCAATATATGCAGTAACAAGGATGTGTAACAAGGATGTATCTAGTAAAAAGGAAGCAACTGTATCAATTGTACAGTCAAATTAGTTTAAAAATCATCGATTTGGCAACAAATTATACATATTACATATTTCTAATATATATAACCAACAGATGCTTTGTTTTGTTACATTCTTTTTTACAATTTACATTACAGATTTGTAATCTGAGAAAAATAAATTTGATATTTAAATTAATAAAACCAAACGCGCGCGGAACAAATAGTCTTATCGTTATTATATAAACTTTAAAGTAAAGACTAATAAACCGTATAAAGATAACTATTTTTAATATAGATATTTAAGATATTTTTACGTTTAATATTACCGATATCACACAAAATGGTAATTTCCTGAGATAAAAATATAAAAAGTGAAGTTTGATTAATAATAAAACCATAAATTAGATTAATATATTCAAGAATACATTTATATTTTCCTATTTCTTGTGTTCTGTTTACATCATTTCTCTCATTTATAAATCACTGTCGTAATCTCGAT